CCTTCGCATGCGAAGATGGACGCGCGCTCGGCGTACTGAAACCGCAACAGGGCCGGCTCGTAGGAGTCCTGAGCGCCGCGCTCTTCAGGAGAGCGGCGAGAAGCGTGAGAAAGGGGAGCAGGAAGGGCAAAAGGGGGACAAAGGAGCGGAACCGTAAACGGGGAGGGACGCAAACAGGAGGATTGGAGGCTTGGAAAATGACACCAACACCAACACACGGGGTTGCCTCCATCAGGGGAAGATGATCTTAGATTTCGGTGTTGGTGGTAATCTTTCGGCCGCCTAGGAAGCCAAAATATTACCACTATCACCGAGATTGGGATACTCTACCCTCGGTGGAGGCACAACGCCGATATTGGTATTGGTATCAACTTCTAGGCCTCCGAGAGGAGGAGGAATGCTGTTGGGGTATAGATCGGGCAAAAGGGGGCGAAGAACAACAAGCAGATCTACGAGGGCAGGAAGATCGACCGCGACTGCTCAGCGTGTCCCCCAGTGGCCCAGCATTAGTCTGGGGACGATTTTCATATAATTTTTGGGCATGTGTTGAATCTGTTATAGGTGTTTGGACTTTTTCGTCCAAAATCCGCCTGTAGGGGGACACGCCCGACCTTAGCCTAGCAGTTTGCAGCGTGCTGGAACGAGGACAGGAAGATGAAGAGGAAAGGGGTGGGAAACAGTGCGAGGTGGAGAACGGGGAGGTGCTGGTGAAGCGGGTCCTCTCAACGCCTGGCCCTCCGGGGAAACTTCTTGAATAGAGCTTTCCTCTCACACGCCGGGCGCAGTTGAGCAGCGCTGTCGCCCCTGCTGGGCTCAGGCTGCGGGCCCAGACAATGAGGCTGCGAAGACAAACGGCAGGCATGGGGGGGGGGATGATGGGAGAAGCCAAGAGAATGGCGCCTTGTCTCCCAGCCTGGATTGCTCCTGCTCCCGCTACTGAGATTCATGGCGCTTACCAGGCACTGTTGAGGGCTCGCAGGGTCTCGCAAATAGCCACCCCCAAAATAATAGTAATCATAATTATACTAAGGCTAATCCTAATAATCATTCCGCCGCAACTGCCTCGTTGACAACCATCGAAGAACCGGCCGAATGATGCGTGCTCCAAGGGTTATTGGCTATGGCGTTCGGCCCCGCCTCTTGGCAGCAACTGGGCTCGGTGTGCATGTACATCAGCACGTACACTTACATACTTCTACAACGCAGTTACACACACGGATCTCTCCAAAAGTTAGGAGCTCAGACGCGATCGTACTTGTTGCTTGAGCTGCGCGGTTTCAACGTTTTGACAAACGGATGCTCACCTCAAACTAATCCACGTGTGTTCGACCCAATGGGCAGACACAATTGGTTCGATGGGACATCTAGAAACCGTGTGCTCTGATAGAAGGCTAATCACGGACCTCAAGTGTATGTGTGTGGGTGTCTGTGTGCGTGTTTGTGTTTCGAAATGTTTGGCATATGCATTACGCTCGCAGCAGTGCCCTTCCCCGAACAGATGGTTACTCAAGTGCCAAATTGCGTCATTTGCACGCGATGCGTGCACGGTGCTCTCTATAAGTTGAACGATGCTCAATGCATATACATGTACATATACATGGCCCTGCCGAGGGGGAAAACAGACGACACCGCTCACAGAGCCCAATGATCATTCATGTTCTCTCCAGGCTATCCTGAGGATTGGTCGATTCTGCGAGCGTGTTTCAGAAGCCAACTACACAGCATACGCAATGCCGGCACGTGCGAAGCCCAACACGATTTCAGTACAGCCTCGAAACTCGAACAGACCGTCTCGAGAGCAATGTGGCAGGCCCTCGGCAAAGGGTGGCGTGGGCGGGCAAGCCACTACATAGCAACAACATACAGGGAATGCATTGCAGCGGTGACCTACACTGCTGAAGGCTAATCCAGGTCAGAGACAAATCGTGGCCCTGCCGGGGGAAAAAGGCAGACGACACTTCTCACCAGAGCTCAGCGATCATCGATTTTCTCTCCAGCCTATCCTGAGGGTAGGTCGATTCTGCAAGCGTGTTTTAGCCAACTATACAGCACACGCAACGCCGGCACGCGCAAAACACAATATAATTTCAGTGCAGCTGCGAAGCTCGAGAAGACCGCCTCTGGATCAAGTTGGCAGGCCCACGCCCCATATCATGGACTGAGAGGTGGTAGACGGTGGGATCATAACAAAAAGGAGCAAGCGAGCCTTCAGCCTCGTGAGCACCGTGGGGAAGGCTTGGAGCAACTGTCGCGGGACCTTCTCCAGCTGGCGCAGCAGCGTGCCAGCCTTCTCGTAGCGCCTGGCCGAAGACGCGGCCCGCCACGTCCCTCGCGTCTGAATTCCGGGGATGATGAGGAGGCCTCTGGCACCGTCTACCACAGGCCCCCCGTGGCGAGCGCAGTGAAAAGTGATGTCCAATCTGGTCAAGCGCCAAGGAGTCGACGGCAGCATCGAAGAACCTCTCATACTCGCGCAACTTCAAGGGGAACAGCGGCTGGT